CATAATGAGGCGGAGACCATCCAGATGTAGACGCTGTCTGGCACTACAGAGCTGCTGTTGGTTAGCTAGTTCATGAGGATTTTCCTCTGTCTCCATAGGGCTTCAAGAACCCACCTTCTTATCTTGTAAAGAATTGGGCTTATTCCCTCTAGCAATGTGTTTTCTAGATTCTGAATTCTGAATGAATCTCACATCTTCTGTTCCTATTTCTGGAGGTTCTTTTTTTGTGATAGAAGATCTGGGGCATAGACAAAAGTAAGTGCTAGATTCACTAAAAATAATTCTCAAAGATGGTAAAGGATGTCTCGCCTTTACCATAATCTTCCCTGTGTTGTGTTCAAAATAAGTATTTACAGTATGTTCCTTGTTCAACAAATTCAAAAGCTACTAAAATGAGAAATCATGTATTATAAGACTACATCAGATCTTTCAGTTTTAGGCAAAATGAAAAAGTATTGAAATCTTTATAAAGCCTGTTTCCTTCGTAACTATTTTTTCTGTGGCAAATGATAGTGGTGTCTCAAATAAGAGATTAAACACATGGGAAATCTTGCAGGTGAATGGTGGTAGAAATCTCTGCACATACTTTGCATTGGTATGGCATTGCGTAAATGTAGTTCCAAAAACTGTTGGTGTTTTGAAAAACTGATTAATCATGCAAACATGATCTCACGTCATTCTCCATACTAATTCTTCACTCTTTTCTTTTTTTTAAATTCCACTCCCTTTGATTTTCTTCTTTTCCCATTAAGTGGGAAGACAAAAATAAAATAAGACAGAAAAGCAAAATCCAGAATGAAGGCCTAAGCCCAAGACCCAAGGTCCTTCTGCATCACAAAGAAGTGCAATCTGCAACAGTTAGTGTCTGCTCCTAACTTAGATAACCTAAAGTAGGTCACCTTCATGAGTCTTCCAGACTTTCCAACTTAGTAACTCAGAAGGATAATAATACAATTTTTAGTTAATGAGAGAACATCAGAAAAAAGAACTGTAGGAAGCTGTGAACTGCAATATCTCCTTATTGAAGGCAAAATGCCACATGGCAAGAACAGATGGGTAATCCTTTCGTGATTATCCTGGACCACTGGCTGAAAGAAAAAGCTGTCGCAGCACTGATGGCTGTATATAAAGTAAATATACATGGCAGCTCCCCTCACTGGTAGTAAAATGTTATATATGTGAAAGGATTATACAGAAAAAGGGACAATTTAGCATGATGTCAGAGGAAGTAATTCTTCCTTTCTCCCTCGGTTCCTGAAGTGGAGGAAGAAGGACTGTATATTCCACATACTATTACATATTTTATACAAATCGAACCCAGAAAAGTACCTGGTTTTCATCTCTTTGACTACAGTGATCCAGCAATGAAAATAAGGATTGTTCACGTTGCTAATTTTAAGTATTGTTATTGGAATGAAATGTTGCTGTAAAAAAAATGATTTCTGCGTATCTGTAGTGACACCAAAACTTGTGTTTCCACAATATTAAGTAGGCAGGTGAAATTACAGCAGATTCAGAATAGCTTGCTGGAATGTACAGAATGCTGGGTGTACAGGAGGACCAGAAAAAAAGGTGTTTCTTGCTCACAGTGGTGACATCTCCATGGACATCAGTTCTTCCAGTGTGTGTGCTAAGAGAGAACATGGCCTTTGTAACTTGGAGAGAAGGTAGATATAAAATGAGCACATATAAGTGAATCTTCAGGTTTTGTCTAAGAAAAGTAGACAGTACATTAAAGATACCCATCTTTATAAAAACCAGTTCATTCCAGATATGCCTTTCCTCCCTTTGCCATGATAGCATATCTGCAGTCTAAATTCTGATGCAATAGGGACGTGGCTGTTCTTAAGAAAAATGCAAATCTTCACTCTGAAATAACTTAGTCTTTCGCTGAATACAGAATGTGCTTCTGAAGTGCCTATGAGTCAGCCTGTGAGTTGGAGTTCAGATAAGCCAGTACTGTTCCTTCACCAGATGGACCGTAAGCTTTTCAGAGGAGAGAGAAGGATATTGCATATTAACACTGCTCTAAACTTCATTTATTTCTTTGTACTTGAGTCAGTTTCAGGCTGTGTTGATGTCATAAGGAGAAAGAGGGGATAAGTACTCTGAAGTAAAAGATGTACTGGAACAGAATCAGGTAATTTGTTTCCATCACTGCAGGTCAGCCCACAGCCCCTCACACACCCCAGGCTGAGTGATGTGTCTGTGCAGGGGTAAAAAATAGTTCAGCCAATTATCGGTCAGGATTTTACAGTAAATTTGACAACTCACAGTGGTTATCCCTTCTTAAAACATCACCTCTTTGCTAAGTGGTAAGTGTGGTAATATCTTTCTAGGACAAATAAACCCATTTCTCCTTTGTGCTTTGCACTAGATGCCAACAGCCTTACAGAACATGAGCAACATCAGGAATTTTCAGTGGTAGCTCTCAAACATCTCCATCTGGCCAGGTTAACTCTTTCTGCAGCAGCCTGGCTCCTTTATGCCGCTCTTACTCATGAATGTCAAAATAAGAAAACCTCATTTTGTGTTTTGAACTTCTGTGTAACTTCTGATTTGAATTTATTCTTAGGATTTGTGCAATGTAGTTATTCCATTTTTGTGGGGCTTTTTTTGTTGTTTTTTTCTATCTTCAAATTCTCAAGAATCTCAGTTCTGCCTTCTTTTACTTTCTGGTTTGAAGCATTATAGCACAGGAAAAAATTAGTTCAGTTACGCTGCTACTTATTTATATTTGACTGTTTTCTTTAGCAATAGAGCAAGGATATTACGAGCAGTTAGATGTCGTTGGTCATAGCATGGTTATATAAATGGATGCTGTGCCTCCTGCATTGTCCTTTCCAGATTTTATATCCCCTCTGGAAATACAGGGTTGAGGAGGATGTTGTCAAAGAGGAAGCCTCATTCCCCCACTTGCTTGCTGAGGCTCCCATCTGTATGCAGAAGACTGAGAAGTTTATGGGTTATAAATCAATGTGGTTTGGAGCCAGATTGAATTCTGCTTTATAGTACTTCTGTGGCATCATTTTGAATGCGCCTCCCAGAATGGTGAAGAGAACCAGAATGAGGTCCTGAGGCCTGCAGCTCTTCAGAGCTCATGGTGATGGCACTCAGCTCCTGGGCCCACGGCCTCGCCAGGCCCAAGAAAAGCTGTGCAGGCAGCTGGTGCCACTCACGCTCCTCTCTCTGCTTTTTAGAAAGAACACTCTTCTCATGTCACATGGGAAGCACTTCTGTCTGGCGTTTGTCAGTAGATTTGCTTAAGTGCATTTACAATGCACAGTTATTTGATGGCTCTGCATAAAAATTATCCATCAATTTCCTGAACTGTGTAGACTATCCATCAAAAATATTCAAGAATACTTTGAAACTCTCTAGCTTTATTTTCAAACAATTCACTTTGTTGTACTGCGCGGCCAGTAAATCCGATGTGTGTACAACTGGTGCACAGTCTGGCAGTGCCGAATTTAAGTTATGCTTTTGACCCATGAAGAACAGTCTGCCATCAATCAGAGCTGGCAAAAATGGGCATGGTCCTATTGCCCAAAGTAAAGGTGAGCCAGATCATGAATGGATGGTCACAGGCCACTGTGTTGCCTTGCTCTAAAGGAGCACTTTCTCCTCTCTGCTCAGAGATGCCTTGAAGGCAGTGATGCTGATGGTGAGCCTGTTTGAAAGCACGTGTTGTGTTTAGGCCTGGTGTGGATCCCAGTGTGCTGTGCATGAAGCGGCTGCAGCAGAGCTGATGGTTGCACTGCAGAATGCACAGTGCCCAGCAGCAGTGCAGCACCACTCTGCAATTCTGCTTCTCTGGTGTTTAGGAAGAGCAACTGTCCCCATCAGATCATGTTTTTCACCTTTGGATTTGGCTTGATGGCGCTTTCAGAGAGGCACTGTACGGGCAGATTGGAAACCCCCCCACCTCACAGCTATCATCAGACAGGATCTTGCAAATTACAAAACCAGTAAGCACGGGAGAAACGGGCACTGAAGTAATCCATTACGCATTACGGTTTTTGCAGTAGCAGGCAGTTAATTACAGTCACCTGCACCCAGACCGGCACCTGCTCTGACACGCGGCGTGCTTCAGGCGGCCCTTCCTGCCCACAGTGCGGTGCCGCGCGTGCAGCTGGCAGCGCGGTGCGGGGCGTTGGGGCGGGCGGCGGTACCGACGTGCTGCCAAAGTTCAGCTGTTTGTTCGCCGGTTTAATTTTACGAAGGAATGCGCATCACGCTGCTTTTTGCTTCAATCGTTTTTAATGCAGCCACGCCGAAACTGCTGGTGTTCCGACGCGGTTCTGCTCGGCACGGGTCGGTCGGAGATGCCCGGCCGGCAGCTCCGCGCGGTGATTCGATCTGATCCGACTACCAGCCGCCCGGCCGCGCTCCCGGCCCCTTCCGTCCCGCCAGGTGCCGCCGCCCTCCCTCGGAAGGTGGCAGTCGCCACCCGCGCGGGCCCCGCGCCCCTCCCCCGCCCGCCGCGAGGCGCGGAGCCGCCTCGCCCCGCCCCGCCCCGCGGCGGCCCCTTCCCCTCTCGCGGGGCCGGGGCTCGCCCGCCGCCGGCAGCCCCCGCC